AGCCAGGAAGAAGGCAGAACTTGAGGTCTGGGGTAGAGCGGATCCTGCTCCAAAGGCTGCTCTCACAGGCCCTGCGTACCAAGCCTTCATTCAGCCCAGCTAAGCTGCTCCTCTTTTCAAACACATCTCAAAGCGCCCAAAGCCCCTGTCTTCCAAAAGCCCCAGTCCTCTCAAAGCTGCAAGAGAGTCCTAACGGTTTTTCCTGCTTTCCTTCCTGCCCGGCTCTCAATCAGCTACTTTGAAAAGTATGCATGGGATCGGATCCTATCGCTCCCCACAGTGAAGCACCCCAACAGCTTCCCATTACATTGAGATGAAAACCCAAACTTCTTTAACCTGTAAGTCACACCTGATCCATTGTCTGGCTCCCTCTCTGAGCTCATCTCTTCTCCCCCTTGGCCACATGCTCTTCTCGGTTCCCAGGGCACAAAGTTCATGCCGGACACACAATCTTTGTGCTGACAGTACCTTCAGGCCTTCACCTGACTGGTTCCTTTTCATCACTTAGGTCTCAGCTTACGTGTCAATCCCGTAGGCACCTTCCTCGGCCTGTATCTGACTTCTCCCCAACTCTCATAGCCAGTTTTATTTTCTTCTTAGCACTTATCACTACCTGGTATTTATACTGTCTGTCCTTTAGAATGTAAGTTCCATGTGGGTAGGACGGTTTCTGTCTTGTTCACTATTTTATCATTATAAGGACAAGCAGAATCATGCTGTACCCATGTCGGTGGGATGTCCCAAGGAACAGAAAGAGGGAAGACAAAATAGCTGGTGGTGGTGGTTAGGGAGGGTTATAGGTGAGGTATTAACAGACTGACAGCTACTCACTTATGGTAGCATCAAAATATGTGCATGTGGACCCCCAGACAGTTTCTCCTGCTTAAGAGCTACTTCAAGAAGGTAGAGTGAACTGTCTCCCTGGGAATGGACTTGACCCAGAGAACCCAGGTCCAAATCCCTTTTCTTGAACAAGCAGACTCACTTATCTCCTATTTCCTATAGTCAGGAGTGAGAGATGGTCCTCCAAAGCCATCTAGGCAGATTTTCTTCTCTAGAGACTTAAGCCACTATCAGCCTCTTTGTGGAAAAGTACAAGTTTTCCCACAGATCCTGAAACAAATAACTGATCTCTAGGGAACTTCCTTTCTCCCTGTCCCTTCAAGCCTAATGCAAGATCTTCATAGATCTATGGGGATCATCCTTAGGGTCTAAAAATAAATTGGCTACTTAGATATATGCCATGCAGCATTTTGATATGAGTACTGAGAAACCAAAACAAATATGGCAATTGCCGATCTCTATTAAAAGCCAGACGAATTCACTTTAGGAGAATAGTATGTAATTTCTCCATTACTAAAACACAAACTTGCCAACAACTAAACTTCTCCAAGCCCTTTGCTTCTGCTTCCCCACATGAATTCATGTAGATCCCTCTTCAAGGAACACGGGTGACACAGCATGCACCAGGAGTGGACAAGCTCCCTTGCTACTAGGAGATAAAGCCAACGTGGGGGCCCTTGGACTGAAGACTACCTTATCTTTCCCAAACACCTCGGGTAGCACAGAAGTGAGCCAGCTCGAGGCTCCTAGAGGAAGCCAGGCTAAGCCTGGCCCACACAGTTTAGTAAATCTTGCCACGTAAGATGACTTTCTCAGTGTTTACATGTACCGTTCTAAAAACATCAGTGAACTTAAGAGCCTCCAAGGTATTTTAATGCTGTCCTCTTCTGCAGAAGGGGTGGTAAGAAAACCTTTCTGGAGGGCAACTGGGCACAATTTGCATCAAGAACGTAAAACTATAATCCCACTTCCAGTAACTTAACAAAAAAAAGTACCATGATATAAGCACGAGGATGTTCATTGTAATATGTGTAATTGTGAAAAGGGGCATACAAAAGGTTGAATAATATGGAAATGATTTAAGATATACTCATATGATAAGGCTTTGTACTACTAAAATATTTAATATACTATTAAAAATGACACCTTGAACATTTAATGACAAGGAAATGCTTAAGATATTAAGTGACCCGAAGGATATGAAATTATATACAGTATTACCCAAATTTTGAAAATAAAATAATTTTTATTTTACATACACAGAAAAAAACTGAAACAATTGCTCTACATGGAGCAGTTATCATGTAGTTTTTCTATATATTTTCATATGACTCCCAGAGTCTATTTTATATGTAAACTTTTTCAAGAACTAGAGGCTAAGAGAACCAATATTTCAAATACTCATCATGGGGTAGTAATGTCCCCAATGATCTAACCCCCAGGGCAGCCAGGAGAGGTAAGTATCTTGAGCCCCTGGTTTACAGATGAGGAACAGAGGCTCTGCTGTGTAAGCATCTACTGGCCCAGGGTGCCCTGGATTCGAGCCCAGGACAATGCCCATTTCCTGCTGCCCCACAGGCCTCACCTGCTGTGGCTCCCAGTGGGCCCACAGGAGGCTTACAGTGAAGGTCACTGACAAAACACAGCTGTGGACAGCTTGCCCAAGAGCAAGGCCCTACTTTGGTTTCTAAACACTTCATATCTTCCTTTCAAAGTAAAAACCTGTTTTTCCTGGACAAGAAACAGAGGGTGCATCATGAAGAGGGCTTGAGGATCCATTCTGAAGCAGTTTTCAACCCTATGCCCCATTCTGCATGCCTGTGCCTTCTGAGCCTGTGGTATCTGCTGCCCTGCTTATTACCTTGGCATTCTGTCAGCCTGTGAGCAGGACAGGGCAGAACTGCACACCCCCACCCCTTCCACCAGCTGGCTGCCTGGTCTCTGCCCTGGATACTAAAACAAACAGGCCGTGTGCTCTGGCTCTCTACTGGG